GTAGTGAGAGAAGATCTTCACCCTGAAACCCACAACGTCCCTTTTCAGCAGGAAGTAGCTAAAAGAATAGCCATCCCCTTTTCCTTATAAATCAGGGTAAGTTTCAGGGAGGAGTGATAGGGAATGGCAAAGGGCACACTGACAGGGGAGATTAATCAGAACTGGCTTTGACAAGCACTGTGGCTTAAAACAGACATTTGGAGGGGGGGGAAGAAGAACAAACTGGGAGGAGGGTAGAGAAAACTGCAACAATGAATGAATGAGAACCCAAAATCTCTGTAAATGTTCATTAAAACTAATAAAATGTAATAATAATTTAAAAAAAAAAAGAGATGCCCCAAGATGGCACTTTTTATACAAATGTGTCTCTTATTCAAAACCCACTGGAGGGTGAGCTATGAGCAATAACTATGCCTAATAATTCTAACTGGATCATCAGACTTTAAGAAAAAGGACCTACCTGTTAAGTAAAAGTGGAGTATGAATAGAAACCCCTTAGAAATAAAAATAAGGCCTAGTGAGACTTTCCGAATACTTCACAGAGGACTGGAACATAACAGCTTACTTACCAGAATGAAAAGAGTAAAGAGAATTTGAGACTGTATTCTATTCCTGACAAGTTTGAGGTTAACTATCATTGCCCCAACTTCTTCCTTCCCTAAGTAGAAGTAGCTGAAAAAGAGTACCTACGAAAGTCAAAAAGCCCTTCCCAGTTTTGTTTACACTTCAAATCTGACATTTTCTTATTTAGTAGCTCTTTCTAAAGGTATAGACAAGGAGGTTCATCTGGCCATGTGAACGGTCCTAATACTTCCACTTAAAATCTACCTAGTTTGAATGGAAAAATTTGCTTTGTAAACTTTCACTCAGTAGAAGTTAAAAAAAAAAGTCCTAGAGATAGTGATTATATAACCAGAAATCTGAACAAATAACTTTAGCCAGGGCAGTGTGATGAGGTGGTTGGCTCTGTCCTTGGTCTCATGATAAAGGAGGTATAGCATCCAGACAAAGGAGGAACATGTCGATGAGGCAAACAGAAAGGAATTATGTTATTAACTGAACGGTGTACCACCAAAGAGTATGCTGAAGTTCTAACTCCTGTACCTGTGAATGTGATCTTATTTAGAAATAGAGCTTTTGAAAATATCCAATAAATGAACCTCAATATAATGAAAGAGAGTCCTAATGGGACTAGAGAGGGTCCTAATAATGAGTGCTGTCTTTCTGAGACAAGAGGTACAGAAACACAGAGAAGAAAGTAGGCCATGTGACTATGGAGTTACAACATAGTTCCAAGTCAAGGAACACCAGGGGCTACCAAGTGAAGAAAACAAGGATCATCCCTGTAGTGGTAAATTTTAGGTGTCAATTTGGCTGTTTCTCTACATAACCCAGGCAACAGCATTCCCTAAGAGTAGACAAGGAACATATCCTTACCAATGTCCTAAATTTGAACCCCATACTGAACTATGACACAATAAATTTCCTGTAAGAAAAAACAACAAAAACCCAGTACCTAGATTACCATAACTAACGTATTACAACTAAATTGAACTTCAAAACAGTAAAACTCATTGCTGTCTAGTATGAGGGCCTGATACTCTAGCAGGTTTTCAGAGACTGAAATCTCAGGGGAGGAGACTGACTCTACCTCTCAGAGCAGCTGCTGAATTCAGACTGTCTTTAGGTTAGCAGTATACTCTCTACAGACTTTTATCACCATACATTAATTACCCAAGCATTAATAAAATGCATGCAATTTGAGTAAATCATAAAAAGACTGGCTTAATTATCATTACTTTCACTTTTATTTTCCATTTTACTTATAAATGTTCCATGTATTTCCTGATTTATTTGCTTCCTCTCTTTACTTAGACTTCTTGTCCCCTGAGGTCCTGCTGTTATTGTCAGGTGCCAGTGAGTCTACTACAATTCAGTGAACTTATGAAGAGACTGGAACCTTGCTCTGACCCGTGCCATCTTCCTGTTCCCAACCACACTCAAGTCCCATTGTTGCAGTCACTGTACCAATCCATCTCACGGATAGTCTCCCTCTTAACTTTACCAGCATGATTTTTTGTTTTTGTTTTTTTTAAAAAAAAGACACCTGAGGGGCTCTGTTATAATTATGTGTCACATCACCTGAGACTCACAGTGACCCTATGTACAACAGCTCTAAACCGTGCCTTATCCTGAGGCAACCTTATTGTCTC